GCATTACCTTAGGGATAAAAATCGATAAAGATTCTGCCAGAAATACCCTTCTATTGGGCGCTATTTAGTGCGCCGAGCTTCGCCTTTGTTGTAGTGCTAACTTGAATTCCGAGGAATACCATGAACTTCTTTCTCGGCCATGTGTAGTTGATAATATTGACAGGTGTTCAGCTTTTGACCACTTCCCGGGCGTGCATGCGCTAAGGGAAATTCTTTCGGCAGGTCTTAATCTATAAATGGCCTTCTTTGAAAATTTTCATTATGTGTAAAGATGTTTGGTCCTAATGCAGGATCAGTAGCATGTATGTGTAGTAATCGCCTTTTTTTAACATAGGAGAGACCCATAATCTGTATAATTTTGGAGAATACACATTAAGGTTTGTTTCTCTACACAGTCATCTAGACTGTCGCCTGAGAGTATCCATCGAATTGATGTTTCAAGTTTGAGCTCTTTTTTTTTACGGAGTCTGAACTCGCTACGCTATAGAGAATAATGATAAAACGTATATTCGAATCTTGCTTGGATTGTAAAAGAGATCTCGAGTCTCGAATGAGAAAGGTTATCAGGCTATCTGTTATTCTTAAGAGATCGATCCAGAAGCCGTAACACAGTGCCACCTGGCCTTTGTAGGAAGATCTATGAGCGTTTATTCATCTGACGCTCTAGACCTGGAAAATTGATCAATTTTTATGCACTGCCGATGATCATTTGATGTTGATAGGGAATTGAAGTGTTAAAACTATTATACCGACATGAATGTGGTAAAATTGTTATGAATGGATGGATATAGGTATATTTTCGCATGACAGACGTAACCATCTTTGAAATTTCCGTGCTTTTTGATATCTCGCCTCTTCCAGTATGCTGGCGGGCTGTGGTCTATTCGGCGTCTTTGAGATGATCAGAGGTATAATGGTTGTCTCCACTGTGCCGACGTAGCCCAGATGTGAGGGGCAACGATACTTGCATCAGTCCTAGGCAAAGCTAGACTGACTGACATGCTGGCCTATCATCTAGGACAGACAATGATGAGGAAACATGCAAATTCTCAATTCCGCAGCTCACACAATAGATTTCAACTATTTGTTCCAGTATGTCTCCAAAGCTCCTGCATCCTTTCTCGCACTGGCAAGCGGTACGCCTCCTAAATCCATCAGAGCACACACCCCTTACCTTGCCCGGCTTCTCCAGTGAATTTTGTAGCCGACCCTCTATCACAGTCTCACGTTGGTGATCGACTGTCTCAGGCTGGTGCAACTTGAGGGCTGCATGATGCTACTGTGAGAGACTGCACCCACAATTTCAGTGGCGGCATCCGCTGAAAGAGTGTTGGAAACACCAATCAATTTTGCTTGGCAGATTATCGGTGGTTGGGCAATTCTTAGAGCCATGTCACGAGATGAGAATTTCCGGCCACAACGCAAGATTAGTCCGTATCTCTAGGCTCGGCCATCTATCATCTCCGAAATCAACATGATTGTGCCACGAGCGACAAGGGTATCGCCATATTCATCCACCCTGAGACGCCATACAAGCCATGATTTGTTGGAGACGGGACTAAGCCAGACTATGGATTTCCTCACCACGAATTTCGAAGAGGGACTATTATCAAGCAGGCCAATGTGAAAATTCTGTCGGACCTGCATGTACCACTATCACGCGTCTGATTCTTGTTAGATAATTTGCTGCATGCACAAGCTAAGTCTTTCCCATGTCATGGATTTGGAGCAAAATGGGATGAGACAAGCTAGACGAGATGAAACCATGCAGTAAGATAGAGAGAAGACGGTCCCGACTTCCGAGCAGAGGATATCATATCCATCCCTAACCGCAGCCCGATTCCTCCACTTGCGGGTGCCAAGTATTCTGAACGGGCGTCAGCACTTTCTCAACACACTACATGATAACTGCAAAGTCAGACCAATGTCAATAGAGATCTGCTTATTCGTGTCCACAAGGTTTACAGTAAATTCAAGGTGAGCATGTTAGTAAGCTTTAATGGAGTCAAATTTACGCCCAACATAGTTACAACACATAGTTGCGTTTACTCCAACTCGGAAACTCCGTTTACTGTTCGTTTTAAAGTGGCTCTGTTGTGCTCCAGTTACACTGGCTTAGATAAGAGGACTCGAACATCTTACGGTTGTCCATTTATTACTGGGGAGAGGGCCATTCATGCCGCTCTCCGACCCCAGGTCAGGAAACCCATATTAGACCCTGGTATATTTATGACAGACTCCAACTACTGCAGAGCAGTGCTTCACCGTTTGGAAAGGTCATGCGGCAATGGGTCTAGCGCCGTGAGGCTTTAGACTGCTACCCAGCGCCGCGATGTGCAACATGGCAGCGCATGGTACAGGGTCGTTCAACTTACTAGGTTTTGTGACAACTCGCCTATCATGCAGACCCTCTTAACAGTGAGTCGGCCCTGGCAAATCTATGTCATCCAGGGTAGGCTCGTAAAACTAAATCTCCACTTTAAGAGTAGGGCAATAGCGAGCACAAAGGTCACTCCATGAATTGTGCCAGGCAGGATAACTCTCTGCGCCAACCAAAGTGACTACTAGACCCTTGGGCAGCTGTTAAGGTTTCGAGACGGTTGTGAAAAGAGCGGCATAGTGGTGCAGTGTTCGGCATAACTAAATGGGATGAGGCACAGCAGTACTGCAACTTGCAAAAGGTGATGGGCTGTCTAGGATTAGCGGCTGTAGGGTTCTACTCCATCTGGATGATCGACATCGACATCGCTATCACGGTGTTTCCGGTGCTGATGAAAAGTGACTTCAGCCCTGTCCATATCTAGAAGTTCAGCCATGCCAGCTGCAAAGTTTTCTAGTCACCTTGAACAGAGGAGGTTTCAACGCAGAAGCAAAAAGTACGCGTGGTCGTCATGATTTCGTCTCATCCGCGAAAGCAGATGCACGCGCACGCGGACGCGGTTCCCGTGGATCCCCGTCGGCGGAAGGAATGGCGCAGTAACGAGCTATGGGCATAAGACATAGCATGGCTTTAGATTGTATCCGTGGAGAATTCGACTGAGAATTACTGAACCATGGGAGTCACCTGGTGAGGAGTCGCAGGCCCTAGTGGATCGACACGACCTTCATTCCGATAGCTTTGATCTGATGGCATCTTTGTTATCAGTTCTACGACCGAGCCGTCTGTTAGAACCCAATGAAATGGATCAAGTGGACTTCATGAGCGTCAGTATGCCGAGGCCTTACATCTTGCCCCTTCAGGCATCAAGTCTTGAGTTGCAACTTGTGAGGTCTTATGCATAGTCCACGCGTAACAGAGATTTCTAAGATAAGCGTCAGCTTTCGTGTCAAAAATTCATACGCTCTCTGCTCCGAATCTCGATGGCGCCTAGAGATAGCTGGAGTAGACATAGTTATAACGACTAGCCTTTATTAATTACTGAGCTTAGCCATCACTACCCAACAGCAGCCTATCCACAGCCTTGCAGGCCCACAGTCCACGTCCAACTTTGGCCATGTCCGGTATATTCGTCATGGGATAGCAGCGCTGTTCTCCCCATTTTAGATCTGGCAAAGAGAAAGGGACATGATCGATGATCATAACTGACTCGCGGCGTGCCTAGCAACCCCTAGAACAACCTGCAGAAGTTCAGCTGGGGGAGGAAAGTGCTAGGGTGCGTCAGCGGTGTGGCCAGTTGATTAACATCGGCAGGTGCACGACGACACGGACCTAAGAAGCCGTCGACGGCGGAGGCCGCGTATGGGCCTCCGCCAAGGTGGCTGGTAACTCGAGAGCAGTAGCGGGGCCACAGACTGGCATGCATGTGGCGTATGTTAACTCGCACGTCCATCGTTCTCGCCGCCATCGGACACTCACGCTTTGTCCCCCTCGCGAGCGTCGAGCTTGAGGGAGGGCACCAGAATTCAGATTCCCGCATTAGCATCCATGGCGCTTGGCGCGCTTGGTCTAGAGGCGAGTTGACGTGACAGTGGAGACGCTCCACTTAGTCACCCAAGACAGCTCGTGCCTTCCCACCTACCACTTCCTACATCATTGCATTTTATTCAAAGAGGTACCGCCGTGGAATAACATGCAGTACGCCGCAGAGGGTGTCGGCCCGCGAGAAATATTACTTTCCTGGGTAGAAGCACGTGCCTCAGATGAGCGTCGAACGTCCTCAACCAACTACTGGGGTATTAGAGCTCGCGTCTGTGCTGCTGCTACCCCGGTCAGCTCGGGAGGGTCCCTGGGGTTCATCTGCGGACATGTCGCCCACCGGGCTTGGCGAGAACCCCTCCTACCCCAGACAGACGGTGGGGAGCGCGTCAGCCTCGTGTGCAGGGCACTGAACGGGAAACGAGGGAGCGAAGCGGATCTGTCGCGACCCGAAAACAAGTAAGCTTGACAACGAAAGTGTGCCAGAGAGGTTCATCTTCATTTAGTGCATCAATTTGGGAGCTACGTGAGTCGCTGCAGTAGCCCATTTTTCCTAACTTCAGCCACCCCCACCCGGCGCGCCTAGTCCACTAGGAAAAGGAGTATCCGCTATGTCCCACCACCAACACCACATTATTCACACCATCGGGCCAGCCCACCAAGATCAAGAAGATTCATGAAACATACAATGTAACCGATAACAAATTACCCCATCCCCGAGCCTGTCCATCGCAAATTTATCACCAGCTTGTGAGTTTGAGAAGGCGTCCCAGGCCGCAGTGTCAAGACCCAAAAGCGAGAGATGTGACTAAATTTGTATAAGGTGAAAGTTTTATTGTCCCAAACGCCTGTATCTGTGCGAACAACTAGGTATCATCTTGGATGCATTGCCGTGCCGTAGTCCATCATATCACGCATTAAATCATTCCATCACCCCATCTTCATATCAGGGCGTGGCGGTAAAGTATAACAAGAGCAAAACATAGCATTCTTCATCGTCGTCCCATTTTGTTCCACGATCCCCCCATGCCTGCACTGGCCGGATTCGATGGACCACGAAAGCCTAGGTAGAACACGTGCCTGACTATATGATCAGAAAATCCCAGCCTTGCCTCCCCATCACGTCTCGCCAAGAAACTGGACATGCTGTGCCGACTTCGGATTCGGGATACTGGTCGGCAAGCTTCCATACTTCTCGGAGTAAGCAGGCTGTCCTATAAAGAGATCCCAGACCAGCTAGATCGCCGAGAGATCGTAGACGTATCGCAAATGCATCGCGGAAAGCTGAGCCGGCGATACTATGAGCCCCGCATATGAGATATACCCAGACTAGAGAGCGATCTAGACCCTGGGGACCCGATGGAATATATTTGAGGATCCGCGTCAATTTTTCGATGAGGCCGACACAGCTGGCTTGATGGGGTGAGAAGCCGGGCACAAGGCTGCAAAGATAGACTCGAGCGGCCAAACGGAATGCGGCTGTTAGATTTTTAGAGAGCTGCTGAGGCCGCGATGCCTCTTGTATATCCAAAGACATAGCCAGATCAGGACCTCCATACTCAGTCCAGCTAATCTGATCACCGATCAGTTGCACCTTTTGGCAGAGGGTAAGGTTGTCAATGCTTTCCTCGCGCTTTAGACCCTCGAGGCAGCTGATCTCAGAGATGAGATAGAGCACGCGGTCATCGCAGCCCATCACCGAGGACAGACCGAGAGAAGCATTGGCTGGTGATTTGAATAAGTTTTCTCGATACAGCTCAGAAAAAATAGGTGCCTGGCCCTTCATCGTGGCACCTAGGATGTCGACCCATGCCGTCAAGGTCATGCTAAACGGAACCACATATGGGTCAGGTGACTGTCTAATTAGCTGATATAGGCCAAGTTTTTGTACGAGTGAGACGACGGCTCGAAAATGCTCGTCCCAGGGAATATCAGGCAAGGAATCATCAAGATGACCGACGGAGCCCTGGAAGACAATCATGCCCAGTGTAGCCTCCAAGATCTCGGCGTGATCAGTATCATGGCTGAGGGCCTCACAGAGTTTCGAGATGGTTGCGTATCGATGACGTATAATTTCGCTATCAATCTGTTCGTCGTGAATCTTCATCGCCGCCTTGTAGTGTTGCGCAGCTATGCTGAGGCAACAATGTACATAACAACTATTGCTTTGCAGGGCCAATATCACGTGATGCATGTGTGCTGATCTATGCGGGTAAGCCTCCGGGATCGGGAATATGGTGGGCAGCACGTCCGAAACAAAGTAATCAAGAAGGTGTTGATCATCATCGAGCAAATTAACTGGGACAAAAGTGAGTGGCGAAGAACCATGGTCGTAGCAACTGTTGAGTTGACCTTGTAAATTTGTGTCGTCACATCCAGAGTCATGACATTCCTCGAGAGCATCATGGTCCCACATTGCTTTCCCCGACACCAAATACATCGAATGCGACAGCAAGTCCGATTCGTAACTGACGAGTTTTGAAGTGTCTGTCGGAGGATAATGCGCGTAGTCGTTGAGAAAATTTTCGTTTCCAGCTTCAAAATTCATCTCACAGGGCAAACAGTCTGACACAATTGTTGGATATTGAGGGTTGTTTGAGCTATCCTGTGTTTTGAAGGCTGTGGAGCTAGAAGTACATGTATCATAATTGTTAAATGACATTTGTGAGTCAATTGATGTTGATCGGCTTCGATCAAATTGAGCCGGGTAATTGGCCAATGCGGCCCATGAACTCGAATACTCCGAAGCAATTTGACCCTGAAAATTCAGACTTTTGCTACTGGATGTCATACTCTTCTCCGAGAGCTTTTTGCGCTTAATAATCACCTTGATATTTTCCTTTTGCGAGCGCCGCTGTTCATTATTACTCCACCACATAGGTCGCTTATATTCACACCGCAGTCCAAGATGTTTACATGCTGAGCATGCAGATAATCCCTCATCGCACTTTTTTCTGCGAAGCCGGCATGTGTAGCAGCCTGAAAAAGGAAATGGTGAATCAGTTAATTAATTCAATTCCCGAGAGAATAACTAACCTGTACGTGATCTCCTGTGCATCTGCATTTTATCCTTTGATGAATTGAGTTTGGAGGAAGAGCTCGATTTGGAAACCATTTTTTTTGCTTGCTGAGAAACTGTCATAGCCTTGGATGTACTAACTGTTAAGGATAGCTTAGGGGGCAGTGTAGGCATTTGTAGCTATTTCTGAAGTGAAATAGTGTAGGGTAGCCCTTGACAAGATCGAAGAAGCAGAAGGGACTTGTGATAGAATGTTTCGTGTTCAAATTTGGCGAATCCAGGGATTGTATTAGATTATTAGAAAAGACGATAGATCAAAGCAAGTCCAGCTTGACTTCAGAATGTAAGGTAGAAAAGATGATACGAGAGGAGAAGAGAAAGTCGCAACTAGAATAGGATCAAGGAGAAATCCAAGCGAGAATAAATTGAAGAATCCAAGGCCTGGTGATGGTAGTTCGATAGGATATGGATGTAGAACAGGAACGCGGAAGCACATGAAACTTTTCTTGAGTTTATGATAGGCTGGGACAACGCGTAGTATTTAGGTTGGGTAGCCAGTTAGATCAAAGTGGGCAGTTAATACTCAATTTAAAATGTTCCGTAAATCTATTTTGGGTTTCCATGCCAGAAAAGGTGATGCTATTTCTGCTTTTCATACCCACATCGCCTCTGCACACGTGTGTGACTTGAATTGTAGTGTGCTATCTGAAGCTAACGATGTTTCCTAGCCAGATTAGCTTTTTAGGATCCCCAATCTGCCAAGAGATAGCACTTCTTAGCGAGGGTTTGATGCAGCCGACTATTCCCATAGCCTGCAGTATACTGACATGACTGAGGTCTTGATAGTATGCCCTTAGCTCAACTATCCTAGTGCATAGCTAGCCCCCCAGCCCCAACTCCACTGCAATAACCGCTGTTGATGATGCACATGTGCAGCAGCTTGCGTTGGCGCAGATTGAAAACAATTGTCTGACCATAACCTAGTACTCTCACTATATCCCTTGGAGGCTCCAGATAACAAGCTAGAAGAAACAGAGGTACTTGTAAAACACTTAGCAAAGTCAACTAGGCTATGCGAGGGTATGAGAAATAGAACAAAGTTCTAGGGCTCCTAGTGGCTTATCAAGGCTTCCTGTAGGCCTGTGCCGCAGGGCCGTATGCAGGCGCTAGTTTTCTGGTGATATCTTGATAGTTTGAGGATTCTGAAAGGTCGAGAAAGACTAACTCTTCGGGAATGGTGAAATTGCATACTGCTGTGATGACATCTGATCTAGGCTTGTTCTATCGCCTTGAACTTTGCTGAATAACATGAGGACTTTGAAACTTTCATTTTCAACTGTACTGATGCTAGATCGGATCCTCATAACCATACCATTCCCTGCGACGACAGAGAAACGACATACCCCGTCTAGTCACGCCCTCTTAAATATCCCGGCATGGGTGTTTGAGTAACCTAGGTGCATTAGTTGATGTGCTAAGATAAAGCGACCTTCAACGATAACTCCGAGATCTCCGTCGCCTTGGATTTGTGAGCTAAAGCTATCACTCGTAAGTTTGTGAGGGGTTATTTAATAGTAATTACTGTAAATATTTTGCCATATTACATTGAAAGTCTGACTGCTTACCCTTAATCCGGGGAATTTATCCCGCTTCCTCATCCTTCAGGCCCTATATCTTAAAGTTGTATCGCATGAAAGAGCGGTGTATTTCAACGGTAATAGATAATAGGTTTGTGAAATACCAGTTATTCGCTTTCTCACGTCTGCGTACCGAAACAGGAACCAACAATAAATTGACATGTTGAGTTATCCTACACGGACTCCGTACACCGATAAGCCGGAAGGGAGACCTAACCGAATTCTAAGCCAACACATTGGGATGACAAACAATTGGGCCGTGACTTTGCGCCTCGCCAAAATAAGCCGTTGCTGGCTGGCTGCACCATTTCGCGCACAGCCTACAAATCTCAGTTGCATAATGCATCCAGGTATTTCCTGCGGTTTCCGTCGCTCGGAAAAATTTGAGTAGCCAGCCGAGTTATTTATGGAAATCTGATTAATCCCTAGACCCCGCCATGAACCCATTTTTTCTTTTGTTACGGTTATTTTCGGCCTTCTTATGAATTCGATGGCAGCTATTTTTGAATGCAGTTTATCTAGCATCCTGTCCAAATACAAATAATTCAGCTGATTAAAACATGCGTCAACAGATTTCATAGTCAAATTCTCCTCTCTATTCCAGCCATGTTCTCCTGCTGCGGCCCTTCCCGCATATTTTGATGTCAATCTTAAATGATTAATTTTGTAGACGTTACGCAAGATAGATGCTTAAAATCCAACAAACATGGAGATTTCAAGTCACGATCTTCAGTGACAAATTTTTTAATATTTTTGATTACAAAAATTGAAGTTTGCTATCTTTTTGACTAGAATAACTAATTGAGTAAACCCGCTGTGAAGCCAGGGATTTTATAGAAATGAGAAATACAGATATATTTAGGTGTTATCGAGATTGGTAAAAAATACTCGGAAAGAATGGCACTGGGAAGCTTATCTTAAATCTGCCAGTTTATTGAGCTCCCTTTCCTCCATGAACAAGGCACTACTCAGGTAGCTTGGGAGGATATCATGGTATTAAAATTATTACATGTTCCAGGGGAAGAGTCCGGAGTCGGAGGTTACACGTGCCTTATATTGCAACGAATGTGTTGGTTTCCAGAGAGTAACTTGGTTGGTCTTGTGTGCTTGTGGCTTCTCTGTGATCCCGTTACTGTGGAGTGTGTTGCCAATCAGAAATAAAACCAGGCTGGGCTGCCACACCATATTTGTCTTTGTACCAGGATAGTAGATGCTAAGCCTATTGTGAAAGAGTTTCGATTACCGTGTGTATGTATGTATGTGTGCTTATTTATTGTGCTACTTGAGTCAATGATTTTTTAGCACAATTACTGTTAACGTGAAGGGTCACCTTCTTAGCTAGGTACTTGAATGATTTTCAAGGTATCCGTTTTTGCCGCAGTGTTACCTCTTACCACCATGATTTTCTAGCATAACAAAGGTGAAAAGCTGGTTCGAAATCAAATATTATTCTTCTTCGCGATTTATTCTATCCCTGATACCTAGTTATCTTGCATCGGGGTTTAAGTACCAGGCTGCCCTTTAAATAATCCCCAACTGTCTGAGTCAGTAAAATGTTGGAAGCGGCAGAAGTGTCTGACACAGACTTCGAGGTCGATAGCGAGACAGATGATATTTCGAGACCATTTACTCAGAGTCCCGTAAGCAAAGGTCCCTAGGAATAGGCTTTTACAAGCTGACTGCCTTTAGACGGGGCGAAGAAGTGAAGCAACAGTATCATCTTTTGACGAGACGTACTCGCCCACTTTAAAGTATCAGGAACAATGCTTTGATTTGTTAAAGTTCAAAGAGAGAGAAAAGCAAATGTTCCAAGGTCCTGTGGATTCTTCGCAGGTGCCTGATACTACATCTAAAGGTTTTCCCATGGGTTCGGAAGATAAAGTAGGGTTTCTGGGCGAAAAAGAAGTAATGTATAGGCTTCAGAGATCATCAGAAAATCGGATTTCTAGTGTCCCAAATTCAATAGACCGCATGAGTATGATTGATATAGCCTGGTGGACTCCAAAACAAGTCGCGAGATGGATGTATGCAGCGGGTCTAGAGAGAAAAATTGTTGAGAAGTTTGAAAAGAACGACATCTCGGGAAAGATTATTCTCATGTTAAAATTCGAGGATCTCAGAGAGTTGGATATCCTCTGTTTCAGGCAGCGAATTGATTCTTGGAATTTGATACGCATGTTGCGAGGCAAAATGATAAGCAATAGAAGGCGACCATCCTCTTTAGAAGAGGCAGCTTCATATGCCCATGCATGGTATATCAGGAGCTCGAGAGATGGATTCCAAAGAGATAAGGTTCGTCTATCTAAGCGGGAACTATGGCGGAGAAGAATTTCCAGGAGTCGTAACCGGAAGTACCGTAGAATCAGTGCTCAAACCGAACTGAGCTCCATTGTTGGGACGGAGAGAAGCAAGGAAAATCAATCAAGACAAGCTGGGAAAGAAAGCTACCTCCAACACCACGAACCAAGCGAATGGGAAGAAAAATGTAACCGTGGACATTTTGAAAACTTGAAACAGATGGAGTATTCGAGAGAAAATTCAACGGGAAATCGATCAACGACTGATACAGCTGATAGACAAAGTCGTCATGTCTATGATGACGAATCGCCCGTAGAAGATTCTGCTGACACCACACGCCGTATTTTAAATGCTAAACAAACCATGGTCCAGAATAATACCTCTGCAATAGAATCATCTTCATCGAATTGGTTAGTGGAACTTTCATCCGAGAACGATCTACTCAGATCATCAAGTCAATGCCCATTTGACCCAACTTTTCTCAAAGTAAATGAAATTAAAAATAGAATAATTGCACCTCTAGAACATGAAGATTCACTAGCTACATTCTCTGTTGAAAATCCGTCCCATCATGACTTACATTGTACCAACCAGAAGATTGGTGGAACTCCAAACTCGCAGCAAAGTCTTTCCAAGTTTCCGAACCCGGTGGACGAGAACTGCACGCGCTCGGGATGGATGATGAAGCGCAGGACTAAATTGTTACGTTATGAATGGCAAAGTTATCACTTCTCGTTAATTGGTACGCAGCTAGCAATGTACAAACATGAGCATTCCTTGGACACTCTTGAACATATTGACATTGATGACTATGCCATAGCATGCTCATCTTACATAAGAGAATCTAAGCTCATTGCAGCTTTTAAGGCCTTATCGATCTCACATAATAAGGAAAGATCTAAAGATCACAAGAAAGGCACGGATGTTTACGCTTTCCAGCTTATTCCCATCGTTCGGAAGAGAAGTAGCTTTCTTCGTGTCGATGAGAGCCACATAAGTCTTGCCGCTTTAGTACCTTTTATAGTCCCTAAATCTAGCCGGGATCGAGGGTCGAGTGCAAAAAACAAGACGCACTATTTTGCAGTTAACTCACGAGATGAACGTATCAATTGGATGCGTGAGTTGATGCTAGCAAAAGCATTAGGTCATAAAAATCGGGGATTCGAGGTCAACGTTAATGGTAATATGGTTTGATATCGTATACTAGTTATGCACTCTTCATGCAAGCTTTTCAGCGTC